GACCCTCTGGCAGCACACTGCCCCTCCACCCCTGCCCCCACCCACCCCCAGCTTTTCTCCTTCTCCCACAATACCTGCCAACGCTCAAGTGTGGGGCACTGAGCAAGCCAAGAGGGACACGAGCAAACCACAAATCAGGCAGAGCTGAGCAACCCCAAATACTTCTACAAACAACTCTTCCTCCAGCCTCCTTTCCTGAGTCAGCACTTTCACTGTTCATAACCTGCCTGTAGGTCCTGAGGTGAGTGCAAGGCCTGTGGGATGCAGGAAAGTTAGTCTACAATGAGGGGCATTGCTAAGAATGTTCTCTCCCTTTTCCTGTGCTAGCTCCCCAGATACACCCCTTCCCCCTTGCCATAATGAGAGGAGCGAGGCTTTCTTAGCCTCCTCGGTGCAACCCTAATCGTGCTCCTTCCCCTCTGTGGTGCTGTGGCAACTCCCAAGCTGCTTTGCCTTTCAGGGTTCCGAGGCGTTTCCCATGGATTCTGGATCTTGAATCCTCGCATGGCAGGCAGCAAGCGCCTGGAATTCCCCTCTGTACACAGCACATGTTTGTCTATGTGGGCATGAAGACCGAGGGGTTCATCCTGATGTGGCTGGGAATTCTTCACCTGCTTATCGTCTGCTGGCTCTACAGGCTGGATGAGGGTGGGGTGTGTTGTGGATAATCAGTTCTAATGCTTAGGACCACAGACACACCTAGCTGTGCTCCCCTAATGCTTTTGTGAAGTTAGAGGTCAGCCCCCAGCCAGTAACATGGACACTTCTGCCTCCTGCCTGCACAGACAGAGGGGACAGTGTGTTTTGAGTCCACAACATCAGGTTTATATTCAGGAAAGATAGAGTTGTACTGTTGTCTACCCAGAACAGACACATGGACAGTGTGTCCCTCCCCCAAGACTGCCTTCCCCATGGTTCAGAGTTGTTCTGGAAATACAAGCTCTATCCAGAGATGTTCAATCTCCCGTGGCGACCAGTTAGTGTTTCTCCTGGCAATCATTTTCATGATCTGCAGAGAACTCCCAGACTCATGTCACACTTGGGACCTTTCAGATCCTTGTGACTTTTAGGCACTACCACTCCAGGACCATGGTTGAATGAGTGATGCAGGCAAATAGCTCCAGAGCCCATTAGCACCCCCAAGAGCCAGCTAGGCTTCCAGAGGAGCCAGCTTGCTTCCCAGACTCTGTCCCTCTCTAGCCCCATCCAAAAGCCCAGCTTGCATTGGTCTCTCTGAGCACATTTGGTTTGTTGCAGCTAAATGGCAAATAGATCTTTTCCTCCAACTCCAATTCTGGTTAGTGCAGAGCACACTCAGGCCACAGTCTTCAAAGCAACTATAGAAACAGCCAGCTGGGCCCAGGTGAGTTTGTGGTTGTGGCCCACAAGGCACTAAAATTAGTAAATTAGAACCAGCCAGAACAATAGTCTTCATGGGAAGGTTTTCATGCCCCCACCTCATCCCTCTCCTCGTGGTGGCTTGTGCTCCTGGGGGAGCAGCGCATAAGGCAAACACTGCTTGCTGCAGGGATTGACTCTTAGATTCGATAGGCTGCCTAGCTGGAGAAAGGGCCTGTTGGGATGGGAGTATAGGGCTACCTAGGTAGACAGACAATGGGAACACCAGACACAAAGGTGACACAGAGACAGTTTTGTCTGCTGCCCCCTTACGGCATATCCAGGAACAGCGGGTCTGCTAATAGCATATTCCTCTTCTCCACTACCAGCCAAGGAAATTGCTCCCCAGGCCTGTACACAGGGTGGGTGTGAAGGGTGGGAAAGCATCCCCATGGTTGCCCAAGTAAGCATGCTCCAGCCGGCCAGGGGAAGGCAGGAACAGTATGCTGCCTGATCCTCCCTTCCCCATGCTCTGGCTGGCCAGGGGAAGGCAGGAGCAGTATGCTGCCTGATCCTCCCTCCCGCATGCTCTGGCTGGCCAGGGGAAGGCTGGGGTTGATTTCCCTGCTTCATGGGGGACCACGAAGGGAGCATTCACACCCTTGTGGTCCACATTTACAAAGATAGCACCCCCCACAGAAATTCCTGCACACGGGCCTGCTCCCAATCTGTTTGGTAAATCATGTCAAAATCCTAAGCAGCTCTGCCAGACCTCTTGCACCTTCCTTGCCTTTTGAGAACAGCTGCCTCTGTTTATCCTTTGTACTTTCATTATATTTTTCTACCCAGTGTCCTTTTCTGTTAACCTCTCAAGAGCCCAACAGGAGTTTTGCCATTGATTTCCATAGGAGTTGGTTTGGCCCACCAGTATCCATACCTATCTTGCTGTTGGGTGAGCCTAAGTGGATGGGGTTAGGTAAGCGAATCATAGATTCATAGAATACTAGTGTACACCACATAGGGAAATATTAATAAATAACACCCAACCCCAGCACTCAACAGATGCCAGCCCTGTGTCTTTCCTAAAAGATCCTGTACTTTAACTGAGTCTGAAATGAAACTAAACAATTACAGCTGCAAACTTCTCCCACTGCAACAGGTTCATGGAGAGGATGTTCCCTGGCAAGTTTCCCCTGGAAGATCAAAAACTTGGAGGAAAACCCTGCCTCCTCCCATAAAGCAGTTTATTACTGTGCCCCCAAAATAAATACGAAAAATACCTACCAAGAGTAGGGATCAGCAATTATATTTTGTCAGTGTGAACTAGTGGGCTGACCACTGGACTGGGAGCCCAGGATTTTTATAACTGGCTCTGCCTGACACACTGTATGACCTTGGATAAGTCACTGAACCACTCTGTGCCTCAGTTTCTCTACCTGCATTCTTTGGAGGGGACTGATCTGAGGAACTGTCCCTGATTGAGGGACCGGGAGAGGTGGTAACAAGTTGCCAGGCGGACATGAGAGTCACCCAGGAGCTCAGTAGAAGCCAAATCTGAAACTGCAGAGCTACTAACTGCGGCATGGAACCAAGGGGCCCTCTAATTTTGTTCCATCCAAGTGGGGAATAAATTTTGTTCTGTGCACCAAGGCATGTGCGGATGCGCACCATCAAGAGAAACACACATGCTGCTGGCTGTGGGCGCTCTGCTAATCAGCTGGAAGGCATTTGAGTATCTCTCAGGCGACCAACCAAGCATTCAGTGTACAGGGACCAGCGCCTGTAACCTGTCGCTTAATTCACTTTGGGTGCGTCTAGACTGGCAAGATTTTGCGCAAAAGCAGCTGCTTTTGCGCAAAATCTTGCCAGTCTAGACGCACCCAAAGTGTTTTGGAAAAGAAAAGTGCTCGATGATGCTATGCATCATCATCCTGACTATTTAAAGCTCTTAGCTCCCTAGGGATTTCACCGGAGCTGCTGCTGGAGTCTGAGGTTTCTCATAGCCCCAAATAGCTAAGCTTGATTTAAGGAAATGCAGTTTTATGTGGGTGAAACCATTATAAATACAATTGGTTGCACTTACTGCTGTGCTAAAGTAGACAGAAGCAATTACCAGCACAATATTACACTCTTCACTTCATTCCACAGCCCATTCTGTGCTGAAGTAAAAGCTAAAAGACCCATTGCTGCTTGCTGAAGATGAATTTTCTTCCTGCTGCTCCAGTCTCATGGTGTTAGGCATGGGGATAGCAATGGTGTCATGTACCAGCACTGCAGGGCAGAAGGGCAATGGGCCAAACTGGATATTCCCTCTATCACATACCGGGAACCTGATGTCAGTTCTTTGTGTAATGCGTTTGGGGGCTCATCCTAGGCTAATGCCACACAATCGGCTGCAAGAGGCTGGTTCTCCCTGGAGAGCATTCAGCACTCACCTGAGATGGCTCTTCATCGAAAAACAGCATGGAAAATTCCCAATACAGGGATTAAGGATGACTATTAGAGACAGCGTTGGAACAGGCCTCTGAGGACATGGGGTCCTGCCCCTTTGCTAGAGCAGAACATTATCCTCCGCTCCCATAAGAGAGAGACTGATACAACTCTGGAGTGTGAGCATGCTTTGCTAGGCGTGGACTGGGGAGCACAGGACAGGCACTCCTGGGGCCTGCCTGAGCATTACATCAAGAAAGCAAACAGGAAATCAGAGAAACATACCACAACAGGCAACTGTGTTTGGGTTGAAACAGCATATTAGTAAAAAACCAAACAAGCAATAAAACTCTACAGTTCCCCTCCCCCCCATAGTTCTAGAGAGTCTTTGCAAACGTCTTTATTACGCCCCTCCCAGAGGCTGCTCTGGCAATTTGAGCTGGGATGCTGGATGTTACTGATGAACGAGAATCAGAAAAACCTCAGCGAACACATTAATAAGGGGATGTGTAGCTGATTCAGTTTGTAACAACAGTCTAACATGCCTCCTTCCCCTTTTCCCCACAGCTCTCCCGACCGGCTACTTCCACACCTGCTTAACACTTCATGAGGAGGTTCCGGACTGACTCCAAACCAGCCCCTTCTACTCCTAACCAGAAAGATAGGGCCTATGTTACAGAGTGCAGCGTTAGAGCCACATCCCAACTCCTCCAAAGTCCAGGCCTGCTTGGGTCAGGATTTTAGTTGAGGCTCACGTTGAAGCCTTACAGTCACAAAGATGCCATTAGGGACATATCCACCCCACATCTTGGGCTTTAATAAATGCATTACACTTTGTAAAGGGCCTGGGTCTGTAACTCTGGTGTCAAATTGCTAACAGTGGCATTGGACATAAAAGGGGGCTCTGATGAGGACAAACCATCGTTTTGTTACTTGCAGGAGGGAAAACAGTTTTATTGACATTGGCAGGCGTGGGTGGGAAGAAGCCTGGAGCTGTTGGGATACTGTGATTTGGAAATACGAAGGTTGAGACACCTTTTTCATAGCACACTCCTGACAGAATGACTCCTGTGATTCATGGGCCTGGGAGTGTTGCAGATGACACAGATCTGACACATCTTGTAATGATCCCCTGTGATTTGCACTGGCAGTGCCTAGGTGTATTCTCCCCTGGCAGCTGGGATGGGAAAGCCGGGGAGGGAGAGAACAAAATTGTGGCATTGCCAAATTTGGTCCCTGGCCATGTCACTTCCACCAGATGCCATGACAGATTGGGCCTGTAGGGAGGGAGTCTTATGTTAGCAAGGGATGGGGTGATACACTCCACTCCATTCACTTTCCTAAATTAGTACAAATCTGGTAGGTGGGGCTGACAAAAGGGGAGGGAAACTGCTGCCCCAGCCCAAACCCTGAGAAGAGAGGCAGTTTACCAGGAACCCTTCTACTATCAATGGCTGAATCAGATGGCAGGGCCCTCCCTGCTGGGAGTTGCAGGAACCCTTGTGGGAGGGAAGGGACCTCTTGCTCTGCCGGCTGAAGGTGCTTGGTCTGCCTGTGCAAAGTGAGAAGGTGATATTGAGCCCAGAGCCCAGGACATAGCAGCAGCCAAGGGTCTGAAGGGGCAGAAGAGGGAAAAGGAGCCAACCTTTCACTGAGCATGAGCTGCAAACACTCCCTCCTCCACTGGGCTGGGCTTTACGGACACTGGCCCTGTGGCAGGGGATGGTGGGGGTCTGAATGGCCCAAAAGGCCAGAAGGTTCAATACGCAAATTGCACCTCCCACCCCACCCCCAATCGCATTAGAATAAAAAAAGAACATAAAGCAAACAAAGGGCATAAAAATATCTGAGACACTTCAATTCACTCTACAGGGTTGCAAAGAGAGTGGCCGCGTCTCCTATTGTACAAGAGAGAGAGAGAGTTATACAGAGCTTCAATATAGAGATCTTTCTATACATATATATTTATAGCTATGTATAAATTTATAGTGCGTTGCATTCAAAACAACCGCGCCTGCTTCTTCAGCTCGTTCCTCTTCCACAGGGCCAGGCGGTCGAACTCCGCAATGGTCATGCCGAAGATCTGATAGAACTCATCCTGTGACAGGTGGCGCTGGAGGGACAGCAGAGAGGGGCATGAGGCGGGGTGTATGGGCCTGAGACAGCGCGCGGGAGTATGGCTGCCACTGCTCAACGTGCCTGTGCAGATGCAATTGGAACGGCAAGTGGCTGTCTGTACATGTGGCTCTGCACACGCAGCACAGGGCTGTGACTATCCCAGTGTTGTCGCGTCTCGGAGCAGGTGAATTGTAATTGTGTGAACACCTGTGAGTGTGCGTGTACTATTGTGGCTGTGTAGCGCTGTGTGTGCAATGGTGGCTGTGTGGGAGCGTGACATGTATCTGTGGCTGGGTATGAGCACAACCACGTGGATCGGTGACCCCCTTCCTCAGCCTCCAGCTGGGGCACAGATTTCCATGGCCAATGCTGCACCCCGAACACCGCACTGGTGACCCAGCATTGAGGCTTTTGTTGGCTTCAGGCAGCCAGCCCCACACTGGGTTAGTGACCTTCTAGTTAGCCTGAGCTTTTCAAAGGAGGGGAGGTTGGGAAGCATCTGGCAGGGGCTCCCCTGTGAACTCTATGGAGTGGGGAGGAGTGAGTGCGTCGGCGTGATGCTGTGCTCCACAGGGTGATGTCCATGCAGACAACACCAGCCCCTGTTCCATCTGCAGGGAGCTCATGTCTGAAACATGTCAGGTCTCCATGCTGGGAGATGATGCGTAACAGGCAGGAGGGCAGCGGCTATCCCTGCTCTGTTCGTACCTTCTGCTCCAGCCTCAGCAGCACTGGGGGAGCAGGAGACAATGTCAGAAGGGGCTCCTGTCCCACAAGGCTGGGACCACCTGGCACACAAGATTGCAGCACCACTTGGGTTTGGTCCAGCTGGTGGTGTTGCAACCCCATGTGCCAGCAATATTCTCCACAGCAGGGAAGGCTTTGCTTACCTCTAACCGAGTCCTGTCCACATCCTTGGGCAGCTGGGTCCTCCCCCGGGTGGTCACCATAAGCAGCTCATAGGGGTATATCTGCCGAGAGAGGCCAAGAAACGCTTTTGGGTGGGCGGACTCCCCAAGCTGTGAGCCAGAGAGCAACCCAGATGGGCACAGCTAAGGGGAACCCACAGCAACAACCCAGCAGCTAGTCCGTGGACCTGTTCTGTTTGGCACAGGGTGGTGCTGCCTGGGGCCCAAAGGGCAGGCCTAGCTTCCAGAGCAGAACCTGGAGTTCGCATGGACACTGCAAGGCAGGGCTGATGCTCTGATGGAGAGGCTGATGCTAACCCAGCACCCACCTGCCCATTTCCAGACCACTTGGCTTATCACAGAGTAGGCTAATGCATTTTATGCAGGTGACCCGCCAGCTACATTTTTTTTTGCAACTCACCATTAGGTACGTACACCCTTTGCCCAGGCACCTCAACCTTAACCCCGGCCCAGTGAACAGGAGAGGCTGGAGAGGTGGGGAAAGGGTCTGCCCTGCATTCACCCTGCAGCGTTGGCTCCTGTCCCACAAGGCTGGGACCACCTGGCACACAAGATTGCAGCACCACTTGGGTTTGGTCCAGCTGGTGGTGTTGCAACCCCATGTGCCAGCAATATTCTCCACAGCAGGGAAGGCTTTGCTTACCTCTAACCGAGTCCTGTCCACATCCTTGGGCAGCTGGGTCCTCCCCCGGGTGGTCACCATAAGCAGCTCATAGGGGTATATCTGCCGAGAGAGGCCAAGAAACGCTTTTGGGTGGGCGGACTCCCCAAGCTGTGAGCCAGAGAGCAACCCAGATGGGCACAGCTAAGGGGAACCCACAGCAACAACCCAGCAGCTAGTCCGTGGACCTGTTCTGTTTGGCACAGGGTGGTGCTGCCTGGGGCCCAAAGGGCAGGCCTAGCTTCCAGAGCAGAACCTGGAGTTCGCATGGACACTGCAAGGCAGGGCTGATGCTCTGATGGAGAGGCTGATGCTAACCCAGCACCCACCTGCCCATTTCCAGACCACTTGGCTTATCACAGAGTAGGCTAATGCATTTTATGCAGGTGACCCGCCAGCTACATTTTTTTTTGCAACTCACCATTAGGTACGTACACCCTTTGCCCAGGCACCTCAACCTTAACCCCGGCCCAGTGAACAGGAGAGGCTGGAGAGGTGGGGAAAGGGTCTGCCCTGCATTCACCCTGCAGCGTTGGCTCCTGTCCCACAAGGCTGGGACCACCTGGCACACAAGATTGCAGCACCACTTGGGTTTGGTCCAGCTGGTGGTGTTGCAACCCCATGTGCCAGGCTGCAAACCCTGGTGTGGGGAACCTGGTGTGGGGAACCCAGTCCAGCAGGACAGGAGCTAGCACTGTGGGGCAATGTGGAACTCACAGTCCATCTCCCCCAGAGTCTCCCCTCTGCACCAGGTGGGGGGAAATGTATGTTTGCCTAGGCCAGGACCCAGTCATGCATTAACCTAGTTTTGGACATAGGGACCCGCTGGTGGGTGAGGGCCTGGTTGGGAACCATTGGTGTCCTACCCTGGCCTCCATCTCCCATTAGAACTGGGTAGGAGCTGCTGCTGCTGAGCCCAGCATGACAGCTGTGATCATCCAGCCCCTCAGCTCTCCCCCGAGCATGTGCCTTGCTGCGGAGCAAAGTGTCTGGGATCCCCACAGCGTAAGCCAGGCTCAACTGCAGCCCAGTCCTGCTGGAGTGGATGACAGCAGGAGGGACAGGGTGGCTGGCACTGGGGGAAAGCGAATCAGGTCATGTCGAAGGGAAGGGAAGGGAAGGGAAGGGAAGGGAAGGTGTCTGAAAAGGTCTCAGTTCAAACATGGGCTCTGGAGACCCGCCCAGCCCACAAGTGCCCTGGTGGTAGTTGGACATTGGACAGCATCACTGACTGGCTGGCAGCTGCTCCCCGCTCCAAACTCCTGTGCAGTCCTACCTTGTATTCTGCAGGGAGAGAAAGGGAAGGAAAGAGATGAGAAATGAGTCAGCAAGCAGCCTCCAAGCTGTCCCTTTGCCGCCCAGGTGAGTCCCAGTGTACTGGCTGCTCTTGCCCCCTCCCACAGCTTTTGCCCTCCTTGCTGCTGCTCGGCACCTGGAAGCTAACACAGAAAGATCCCAGGCACCAGCACCACAGCTCAGCAAAGCTTCTTTGTGAGCGCTGGGGAAGGCAGGGCCTGATCCTGCCAGGTGCTCAGGGCCCTTCGCCAGCATTGACTTCACACGGGTGTAGGGTGCACAGCTGCCTGCAGTGTGGGGCCTCTGAGAGGCTTAAAGCCCCTAAAGGGACTTGTTGCTTTTCAGAGTTTCCTAAAGGTTTTTCACAACATGAACCTGGTTCATCCCTGTGCTGCAGCTGAACTCAACACTGGGCAAGGAGACGAGGAGGGAGAGGGGGAAAGGTGGGTTTAACTAACCTGACAGCTGCTAACAGCCCCTCAGGGCCAGTGTGGGAGGTAGGAATAGCCAGGGCTCAATACTGTTCAAAGGAGGGGATATGAAATGCCCCTCATATGCTCCATGTTCTGGCAGCTCCAGTGGGGAGCCCAGAATCGGCTACGCTGGTCCCTGCCAGCCAGAGGGAAACTTTTTGTCATGGGAATTCCCTGGACACTGGGTCCACCATCATTGCAGCTGCTTGACACAGATGTGAACGGGGCCTGATATTCACAGGAATAGTTTCGTAAACAGTGCTCTGGTTTAGCTTTAACCCTTCCCCGGCTGTGTTTGCAACCCCAGCACTGCAGGAATTTACTTGGGAATGAGAGCCGGAAAGATAAACCACCTAGATAGTGACAAAGCAAGAAACTCATTAACCTGCAGTAGCAGGAAGGGGGACAACCACTCTGACTGTTTTTGCAGTTTTACAGTGACAGGTGCCATCGATAAGACAGCTTTGAAAAACATCATTATCTGCTGCTGCAGGGCCAGTCAAGGGTCTAGGTAAAAGCATCAGCCGGTGTATCTTGCACAGGCCCTGCAAGCTTTAGTGTTCAGCACTCTATGCTGACTGTGCTGTGCAGGATCTGGAGGAGAGTATGTAGTAAGCTCTTACTCTGGTAAGAGGGGCCACTCTCGGAGTGTCGCATTGAAGCATGTTGGCACAGGTTCTAGCAGCACATACTGCAGAACTGCTAAGGCTTCCCAGGCACTGTTCCCTGCTTACCTCGCATCCCCCAGTTGACGGCATTTGTGCTGTCGTAGTGGAAGAGTTCAGCACTGGGGGGCTGTAGGAGAAATGAGAACACGGAGGGGTCAGGATGAGGGAAGCCTCGATAAATACTCAGCTCTTCTATCACACCTTCCACCTGGGAAGCTCAACATGTTTTACAAAGCTTATAATTAATCTGTTCCGAGATGTCATTCCCCTCATTTTACAGAGGGGAAACTGAGGCACAGGGAGGTGAAAAAGGTCACATAGTGAGTTAGTGGCAGAGTCAAGAAACCACCCAGGCCTCCTAACTCCCAGCCTGCATCAGTCAGGGGACCATTCCTAAAATCCTTGTTGCCCAAAGTTACACAGCAAAGACATCACTGTGGAAAGCACAGACCTTCCCACACTCTGACACGGGGGTTCTGTTTCCCTGCCTCTGAGCTCCAGGAGTCTGGAAGAGATTTTACAGCTGGGGGGGGGGGCACTTTCCACTCCTAGATTCCTAGGACTGGGTGAGGCTTTTCCAATCTCTAGTTCCTACTTGGACTCCATACAAAATACACCGGGGAAGCTCTGGATATGTCTTAGCAGAGGGGGCAGCCCCTAGAGGCTCACATGGCTCTAGTCTGTTCCACATGCCTCCAGAAAGAACACTCGCAAGTTTTGAGGATCCTGAACCCCAGCCTGAGGATTCTGAACCCAGGTACAAAGAGGGCTCTACTAGCCAGCCCCTGAGGCTACTGCCCTAGAATTGCTCCCTCCATTCCACATGTGTATGTATCTCACCTGTGCAGCCACTCCCCCAGGAGAAACAGTCGGAAACACTGCCACCTGGTGGCAGATCCAGGGTAGCTAGTGAAACTCACCCTGTGCAGCCCGTTCCTTCTGTAGGCAGGGAGGGATGCAGATTTTGAAATGAGAGGATCTGAAGAGAAAAAATAACAACAAAGTGCATAGTCCCCAAACTGACATCTTGTACTTGGGAAACCCTCAGCTACTGAGCTAAGGCCCAGGTGTCCGGTCCCCAAACACAGCTGAAGTTTAACTATAAAGAGGAAAGACCCCAAAGATCTAGCCCGGATGACACAGGTATATCAGAGAAAGAAGAAATGTAGTGCTGCAGTTGGCCCCTTTGGTAGGCAAATTCAGGGAGTCCATTGGACACCTTGCCTGTTACACTGGGGGGGAAGGGGGATCCTCTGCAATTTACATTACTGGATTGCCCTTTGCAGGCTCTGTCCTAGCTACCTCCCTCCCCGCTGAAGGCTGGATGCCCCTCTGAGCCCTTGGATTCTGCTCCCAATGGCTGGAGGATGTAGAGCCTGGGGCCCAGCAGTGGCTGAGTGGGCTGTCTCCCCGGGGAGTGAGACCAGGATGGAGACTCACAGCATGGAGCGCTAAGTCATCTCGGGCTGGGAGGGGCCTCTCAGGACTTAGAAGATTTTGCAATATACAATCTGCCCCTACACCTGAGATAGGAGGCATGAATGAAAGAGACCTCCCATCCCCATGAGGATTGGGGCCCATAGGAATATTGCCATGTTCTGTGAGGGAAGCAGACTCAAGGCATGTCTATGCTACACTCTTTATCTACCTAGACTGGGTTGACTTAGAGCCTCTGCAGCTGAAGCCCACCCTACCCTCCTGTTCGGGGTGTGTCTCCTCACCAGGAGCGCTGCCAGCAACCAATGAGGGGAGGTGATGGGGTAGAGAGCCAGGGTTCTCAGCTCTGTACGGCTCCCTGCCTGGAGCTCAGTTGTCCCTCAAAGCTTCTCACCTCCCCAGCCCCAGCAAAGAGCAGAGGGGAAGCTGCCCAGGGCTTCTCATCTTTCCACTCCCAACTGAGAAGTGGGGAAGCCACCAGGGGTTCCTGGCATCCAGCAGGGAGATCCACACAGATGGACCCACAGGCTTAGTGGGAAAGTGGGGAGGCAGCGGTCCTGCACTCTCGGAAGGGCCAAAGCCTCAAGTGAAAGGGGTAGGACTGGGGGCAGTCAGTCCACAGCACCAGCCGGAGTGTGTCCCAGCCCTGGCCCCACCCAGCTGGCCCTGAGCACTGCCTGGAGTGTGCCACACCATGACCCAGCCCCAGCCTACCCTCAGAGCCACTGTGGGTTCTCTGCTCTCCCCCCTTTCCCAAGGCCTGCAGATAGAGAAGCACAAGGTGGAAGGGAGGAGGAAGATATACATACCACTGTCAGCCAGGTAATGTGTCCGGGGAGCTGCAATGAGAAAAGAAGCGGGAAGTCAGTACACTGGAGGCAGAGAGGCATTTATTGTGATGATAAGCCCCACCAGGCAAGACGATCAGCATTCCCCACCTTGCTTCCACACCAAGGACAACCTCACTGCACACTCTGCTTCTGGCGGCACGTTCCATTTCCCTTTACATCCCCTTGCAGGTGAGCATCTCCAAGGCTTTATGAATATTGGTGGGCTGAGCCTTCCAGCCTGTTGTGGTTACTGGGCCTGCAGATGTACCCTAACTGTGAGCTCAGCTGTAACAAGCGAGTGGAAGTTTTTCAAAGGTCACAGTGACCTGTAACAACACAACTTGATGGGAAGAGTTGTGCCAGAGAGACACTAAACACAAAGGCCTATTGATCTAATGCAAGGGCTGGGTTAAGCTGATGCTTGATAAATAAGAAAAGTGTGGAGCCAGAAATCAGTGCACCAAAATTGGTATGTCAGAAACTAGACCTAATTGGTGGATACAATAATGAAAGGATGGGCTATTCCCCCCCGCTGTCACTCCCTGCTGGAGTCTTTAATAAAAGTCACTGGAAAAAAATTAGCTAATGGAGAGAGCTTCACCATCATGATGGCCAACCCCACCATCTTCTCGGACACTGGACCTTCTTTGTCCTAATCCTGAGAGATTTCCTGGTCAGACTGGGCCAGAGAGTTGGACCCAGATGACACTGTAGACTCCATTAGCTCCAGCTCCCAAATAGCACCTGGAATGTGAGACTCTTTCTCTCTCTCTCTCCCCACAGGATATGTCTTATTCCTTGCCCACCTTATTTTTTCTTTTTCCTAACCCTCTTTTTTTAGCTTCTAACAGGAGTCTGGTTTAGCTGGCCAAGACCGTGACTGGAAAGAGGCAGCTAACAGCAATGCTCTAAACAGCACAATGCTGCTACAAGTTTGCCAGGTCTCGGAATGGCCGATAAGACCATGTGACAGGCCTGTGTCTCTCCAGCAGAGAGGTTGCAAGTGAAAGTCAGTAACAGAAGCTGCACTTTTGGTCCTTGCTTTTCTTTGTGTTTGTCTTGCCTTTTTAGGGAATGGGATTGGACTTTAACAACAAAAGCATGAGGTCATCTCAACTAACTTCTTCTCCTTTACCAAGGCCAGTTAGGACTATCTTTCATATCACCCGAAAGACTGTCAGACAAAGGGGTTGTGGGGCTTTTTTGGGGGGTGGAGTGGGGAGTAAATGTGGGATGTTGCTTAAATAAAAGCTTAATTTAATACTTGTCATTTTAAGTGCTTTAACTAGTTTTCCATCTTTTTCTGTCGCTAATAACCAGTTACTAAGGATTTTTAACAGGGTATTTGCCCTGGTACTAAGTGGGCTTATTGACATCTCAGTACACCAAACTCTCTACTTCGTTTAACACTAATGTTGGACAGAGATCTGGTCATGGTAATACCTTTGACTCCTCTGTCCCTTTATTCCATCTAAATCAATACAAGCCCTCCCACCGCCTACAAAGACTGCCAATTTGCCCCTCATTATACAGACATGGAAAAGAGGAACAGAGTGAAAAAGGGTCACCTAATAAGTTAGTAGCAGAGTGGGAACTAGAACCCAGAGCTATTGAGGCTTAGATCCTATCTCCAACCAGACAGCTGCGCTACAAGGGCGTTAAAGCAGGGGTGAGAGAGTACCTGTCCTCCATGTCACTTTTAGTGGCTCCTGCAACATCTTTTGGGCTTAGCCAGTGGGGCTGAGGGAGGTGGCTCTGCCCATCTGCAGAAGGGAGAATGCAGTTTTGGGCAGCTCAGAGCTGCCTTTTAAGACCACAATTACTCTGGTCATATGGGGTATGTCTACACTGCAACACTATTTCAAAATAACTAGCACTAGTCTGAAATAACTTCATTTGCGTCTACACAACATGCAGTTATTTCAAAATAGAGTCAAAATACTGTCAAGCTCGAGGACTTCTTTCTTCGACTCCTGTAACCCTCATTGTACAGGGAGTAAGGGAAGTTGAAGGAAGAGTGTTCTGTTTTGAAATAAGTGCTGTGTAGACACTCATTTCAAAATAAGATATGCAACTGACATAGCTCAATGTGCGTAGCTTATTCAGAGTTAAGCCCTGCAGTGTAGACGCAGCCTAATAGAGAGTTGCTAATCTGTTTGTTCACAGTGGCAACAGGTTCTGCCTCTGCTGCTCCCTCCCTTCTCTCCCTGCCCACCCCTCTGAAAACCGATGCTATTACAGGACCTCAGCCAGAGTGGCAGGCCTTGCACACGGGCTGGCACCTCTCCCTCCTCGTGCCTTATATTCCCTGGCAACCCTACCTCCAGGCAGCCCTGAAATATCCCGGATTCTAGAGACTGGCTGCTGAGATCACATAGCAAGCAGAGGCATTAGCTCCATCAACCAGGGAGCTCCTCTATAGAAACTTGGTCCAACCAACAGGCCAATTGGAGGATGAGCTGACAAATTTTCAATGGTGCCATCTAGTGACCAGCTCGTGGAATTGCAGGTGTGTAATTCCTTTGTAGACCTGAATTTACACCCTCAGAAAGGAAGGTGGGACTATGTGGCAGCCTATCGAAATTTCAGAGAGTCATAGAATTCTAGAACTGGAAGGAGCATCAAGAGGTCATCAAGTCCAGTCCCCTGCCCTCACCGCAGGACCAAGCACCATCTAGATTATCCCTGATAGATGTTAGTCCAACCTGCTCTTAAAAATCTCTAAGGCTACGTCTACATTGGCATGATCTTGTGCAAATACTTTTAACGGAAGAGATGTGCTTTTGCGCAAAGCTTCTTTGCCAGTGTGGACGTTCTCTTGCACAAGAAAGCTCCGATGGCCATTTTAGCCATCAGCCTTTCTTGCGCAAGAAATTTATGTTGCCTGTCTACACTGGCCTCTTGCACAAGAACAATTGCGCAAGAGGGCTTTTTCCTGAGCGGGAGCATCGTAGTTCTTGCGCAAGAAGCACTGATTTCACACATTAGAACGTCAGGGTATAATTATGGGGCCAAACTAACATAATTTCTACAATCTCCCTAAGCAATTTATTCCAGTACTTAACCATGCTGACAGGAATGTTTTCCTAATGTCCAATCTAAACCTCCCTTACTGCAATTTAAGCCCTTTCTTTAATAAAAGACTGCTTCAGCTTGTGCTGTTAGGGGGCCCAACTGGTGGTGTAGCCTGAGTGTGTATGTATGAGGTAGAGTGTATGCACCGGGATCTAGCTCTAATACACAATGATAAGTCACTATCAGAGAACTCAGACAACCTCTCCAATGTCAAGAGCTGTATTTGTCTTTGTTTTTATTACAGGGCATTTCTTTGCCTCATGGGTATAATTATGGGGCCAAACTAACATGAGCCCTGCTTTCCTAAAAGCCCCTCCACCATGTAGGTACACAGACACCCTACACAACAGGGCTAAAACAGAAATAAGCTACTCAATTTGAGCTATGTCAATTGAGCTTAAGCTTAAGTTGAACTAGCTTATTTTGGCTTTTTCGCTGTCTACACAGCAGGAAGTACGAGTTAGGGCACTCTTCCTCCATCTTCCCTTACTCCTCACAAAATGAGGGTTACAGGAGTTGGAGTAAAAAGCCCTCCAGCTCGACATTCATAGAATCATAGAACTGGAAGAGACCTCAGAAGGTCATCAAGTCCAGCCCCCTGCTCTAGGCAGGACCAATACCAACTAAATCAACCCGGCCAGGGCTTTGTCAAGCCAAGACTTAAAATACCTCTAGGGATGTCAAAATAACTGTTTGCTGTGTAGATGTGGACTATGTTATTTCGGAATAACATCATTCATCTGAAGAAGTGAGTTGTGCCCATGAAAGCTTATCTACCATCTACAAATTCTGTTAGTCTCTAAGGTGCTTCAAGACTATTCATTATTTTTAAAGTTTTTTTCAGTTACAGACTAACACAGCTATCCCTTCTGAAACTTTAGAAGATCTGAGGTTATTTTGGCTCCCCAAAGCATTAAAAAAAAGCACAAATACCAAACCCTGGGACTTGCATAGCACCTAGGGGCATGTGTAAAGAAGAGATGTTTCCCTGATGATGCCATCAAGGGAAAGAATTGTACAAGACTAATTTCTTGGGTAAATTATGTCCCTTACAAACATCCAATCTCCCCAGCCATGTTGAAAGGCTCTGGTTCAGGTGTCCTTCCTTCCCCACATGCCAACACTTCACACCAGATCATGCCCTGGTGATGGAAGTAGAAGTGGGAACATGGTATGTGGCAGGACGATGAGATGGCAAAGCCAATGGCTGATTTTGGGGTTTGGCCATATGGTCTGGGACCCACTGACTCATTTCCCCCTGAGGCCACAGAATAGCCCCTTGCTAAGACAGATTACTGGCCAGCCCCACAGATCCTTCCATGCTCACATGGCTGGATGCATGGATCACATAATCCAGTCTGTGCAAATCTGGGCATTGGGGGAGCAAGCCTGTTAATCTCACAACCCAAAGTATTAACCAGCTCTTAACAAATTAGAAACCACAATCTCTTGGTCTCGTGCGAGCTGAGCAGCAGCCTCCAGCTGGCCTGGTGCTTTTGGCATTCCTTACAGCCATTCAGCGAGCTCTCATATCCGGCTGTGTGCAGGGCCTCTCTGCTGCCAGCTGAGCTGCGGGGTGGCGTCCAGGGGTCGGCGTAGGAATTGGATCGCGCCTTCATCTCTTCCTTCAGGATCACCCTGCCGATGCCGCTCTGGATCTGAGGGGAGATGGAAAGGAATACACTTCAGACACAGGCAGGAAGTTCTCTTCTAACCAGCAGTGGCAGCACCGTCAGCACACAATGCTGCTAATGCTGGACTCTCCTGCTCCGGCATTCAGAGACGGGAAGGCCCTCCCTCTTTATGGTTCTCACATCCAGGCCAACACCCAGCCAGCAATGAGGGGTTGGTGCCCCCTGGTGAGTCCAATAGCCCCCCCCCCACGTCATAAAACAGCTTCACCCTCCTTCCGCGTCATAAAACAGCTTCACCCTCTTCATAAGAGAGGGTCCTTGGCCAAACTCATTAGGCTGTGCAAGGGAGGAGAAAGTCCATGAAAGGAAGGAAGCAAGGAACAAGCGGGCCTGAGTGGGGTATTGCATTACATCAGTTTCCTCTGGGAGGGGCTGAGCTTGGAATGGAGGGTTCCCGGGTATGGATGGCACAAGACCCGTTTGTGAGGTAGAAGCGTCTGGAAAAGACAGATGGCAGATGTACCCGAATGAGGAGGCTGGGTCAAGGCAGTCTTTCCTGGCTTTCTGCTGTGATCCCTGCCAGGGCGTGTGGCCTCCAGCCTTGCTGCTAGCTCCCCTCTCCTCTCTGCTGCTGCGTTTCCCTTTCAGGGGAGGAGTTGAGAGCAGATGCCAGTGGGTAGGTGTGGAAGGGATGGGGGCAGCCACTCACCCTGTGCATCCCCCGGTCAAACCCATCCTCTTCTCCTCCTGATGAGAATCTGCGGGCTCGTGGTGCTGCCAGGAGACAAGATAAGGACCAATCAGATGCACAATATGGACAAATACAAACAGGAGGCAGCCCCCTGGTGGAACTGTTAGCAACAGTTCCCAGGATGGATGTGCCTGGCAAATGGCCCAAAGGCTGTGGGGACTTCAGGCCCAGGGTTCTAGATGTGTCATCATCATCCATCACTGCCTACCTTCGATTTAAATTACATGCCCTCAGCTCTGGGCCTGGCCTGAGGAGCAAGGGCTCAAAGCCAACTCCTCTCAGAAAATGATATACGTGCAGGTCCTTATTGGGCTTCCTGTGGTGTAGGCCGCAGGTCTGGGTGCCCTGCATTACCTTTGGGTGAACCTTGGAAAGGCCAGTACTCGGACTCCGAGTGGTAGTACGGGTCTGGGGAATAGGCTGGGCTGTATTTGGAGGACTGTGCAATGTCATCGCTGGTTTTGCTTTTCGTTGCTGCAGGTGGATGGTCTGCAAAAGCAACAGAGAGTGAGACTTAGGAAGGAAAGCCAAGCCCTGGAAGAGGTGCTGTCAGAATCACCATGGCATCTCCCACACAGACAACCACGTGCCTCCCAGCTCCAGTAAGCATAACTGCCCAACGGGCTTCACTTTGGAGATAACAGTTATCGTGGTGCTTCTTCCCAGAACCTAAGGGGCCCAGTATGTCCGCCGAGCAAAGGACAATGATGGCGGTAGCAGACTGGCTGAAACTGATGGGTCACATGCCTGATCAGAGTCACTCGCTGGACCTGGAGAACAATCTAGGCACATGGCATATCCCCCTGCACCACTCTCCAGTGGCTTGCCAGCTCTCTCCCAGGCACGGAGCTTTCCTGGCCTGACTGGTAATAGTCTGTAGTCAAAGCATTGGGCAAACGTTATCTGATTACCAGAGGAGCAGACAGCCACACTGACCCCCAGGGCAGGGTGAGGGGGGCAGCCCCATGCTCCCGGAAGAGGCAAGGTCTTCAGTCCTCAGTGCTGCCTGGAGTGCTCCCTTAGAGCTGCCTGGAGCATGCTGCACAGCGGCACTTTGGCAGTGATTTAAAGGGCCCCTTTAGAATTTCTGGGCCCTGGGGCAACTACCCATTTTGCCCTCCCCTGTCGGTGGGCCTGCTGATTATACCTGACACCCCAGGAAATCAGTAGGATCCTCCCCATTCTACAGATGGCAAAGCAGGGGTGCAGAGAGGGAAGTGAAGGTCACACAGCAGGGCAGTGGTAGAACTGGGAACAGAACCCTGCAGCTACTAGCAGCCAGCCCCCTGCTCAGTTGCACACAGCTGCTCTGTACAGAATTGGTTGCCAAGTACTTGAAGGGTTCTGTTACCGGCGCTCCATCCCTGCCTTGCATCTTGCTCAGAGCCCATGGCTCTGACATGCAAATGCCATGACATAATGATGCAGAGCCTTTGGCTGCCAGGCTGAGTCACAACCGTCGCAGCCAGAATGGTGCGGATCCAGAGCCCATGTGATGTTGGCTGGTTCTAATATCTTGCTCTTCCTCTTTAACCTACAATTTTCCTACTGCACCAACAAAGGAAGAAGGAAAACACAAGGGCTACTGACACCAGCTGCTCCTTCCTCCCATGGTGACCTGGCATCAGAAATGCAATGTTATTGCCAGAAAAGGGCTGTAAAAGTGCCCTGGGAGTCTGAGCAGAGATCCAGAGGCAAGGGGCACAAGGAAGTAGTGAGCTTCCCATAGGGTGTGTTTGAAGGGATGGGAGGAAGTGCTGTTGGCAAGTCCCAGGTTGTGAGGAAGGGATGCAGCGGGTTGTGTATGCGGGAGGGGAGCCCCATGCATATTCAGTTAGTCTTGAATACTGCTCCACGGCTCCTGTGCCTAGAGAACTACAGCCCGCAGCAACAGTCGGATGGGGCCATGACTCTGCACACAAGGGCTCTATGTTGCCTTCAGACTGCTCAGAGGCTCGGGTTTGACAACCCTCCTGCATCGGCCAGGAGTCTACTGGAATCACCATGGTGACTTTTGAAAGCAACCTGGGACTTTTAATAGCTACAGTACAATTAATGAAATTACGTTGTGTTGGGAAAAAAATCTCCTGGAATAGCTTCAGTCAGAGTTGGCAACCCCATGACTAGGGGCCTATCAAATTCATGGTCCATTTTGGTCAATTTCAGTCATAGGATTTTTAAAATGGTAAATTTCAAGATTTCAGATATTTAATTCTGAAATGTCATGGTGTTGTCAGAATAGGGGTCCTGGCACAAAAAGGAGCTGTGTGGCAGTCACTAGGTTATTGTATGGGGATGTGGTATTACTACCCTTACTTCAACTGGAAAGTGGTGGCTGCTGGCCAGGAATCGCGCTCCGAAGGCAGAGCTATTGCCAGCAGCAGCAGAGAAGGAAAGCATAACATGCTGCTGCAACCTTTCCTTCTGCGCTGCTGCCTGCAGAACTAGGCCCTTAGTCAGCAGCTACCACTCTCTGGCTGCTGGCAGGATACTGCCTTCAAAGCTTGGCACATTACAACTCTGGCTCTCCAGTTGCCCAGCTCTCAAGGCAGCACAGAAGTAAAGGTAGCTATACTGTGGCCCTCCTCAAATAACCTTTTGTTCCCCCTGCAATTCTCTTTTGGGTCAGGCCCCCCAATTTAAGAAATGCTGCTCTCCCCTGTGAAATCTGTACAGCATAGGGTAAAAGCAAACTAAAGGCCAGATTTCACAGGAAGACACCAAATTTCACAGTCCGTGATGCATTTTGCACGGCTGTGAATTTGGTAGGGCTGTACTTATGAGGGTCCCGCTCCACCATTAAGAAAACAAAATGGCTGCCTTTTCAGAAGTAGTCTCTTCCTCATAACGCATGTGAGGAAGCCCCTGCAGGAAGACTGCCATCTTGGTTTATGGTGAGCCCAAGAGAGACAGGGCCAAACTCTTCCTCAAGTCCTGGCCTGCTAAGAGTGCTCAGAGCCCCTCAGTAACATACCAGGAGTCATGTCAAGGAACATGGTAAAGGCAGCTACTTACAGCATGGAGGGGTGCAGCCAGCCAGCAGAGGGCATTAGGGGTGTTAGGCAGACAGGACAGAGGAGACGCACAGAGAGAGAAAGGAGAGACAGAGTTACGGTTTCACGGGGAAAGCTGTTACGTCTACACAGTGAAGCAAGTTGTGAGCACACAACAAGTCCTTCTCAACAAGGGCATGGCTGGTGCCAGGGGCCTGCAGGCCACCTCTCCAGACATCCCCCACCCACACAGCCCCAACACTCACTGGATCACTTTCTGCCGGTTATCACTAGTCTCTTTCAATCTATAATGTGCACCTGGGACGGTTGGAGGTGTTCATGAGTTTGGGATTCCCTTTTTAGTTTTTTCCAGCTATTTTATATTACTAGTGTAAAAAAATGCCCACATACTGGTCACTCCTCTCTCCTCACAGCTCTGCCAGGGCAACCCGCCCCTGACCAGCAGCACCCCTGCTATGTGCTTTCATATTAATGCCTTCAGGCTCTTGACCTGCAGCGCCCTTCCATGCCAGTTTTATTTTTCCCACCCAGGCCCTGATGCCATCCCTCAGTCCTGTCCTTCAGCACCTGCTTCCCATCTTTGGCAACTGTTGTGCACTGGAGACACATATCCAACCTGGGGTTGTATTTGAGGAAGGGATTGAACCCCCATGTGACAGGTGAGCTGCTAGTGCTCTCATGCCACTCAACAGCTCACTCCCACCTCCTGGGCTTTTTGCTGAAGGCGATGAGGAATCTCACAGCTTTGTGCCTCACTAAGTCCCATGGCTGAAGGAGAACAGCCCCATCCATTGCCAACACCTCCAGCCTTTTTTCTTGGCCTGACTCTCTGTCTAAAGATATCAGTCCCAATATTCTAGATTAATCTTATCTCGGTTTCATACCAATGTAAGTCCCAGCCCAAGGAATTATTCAGCAGTGAAGCTGGTCTCTAATCTTTGTTTGGCCCTTCCAAAGTCAGGACTATTAAGTAATTGGCAATCACCCCAAAGCAACACTCAGACTATACCGTGTCGTTTATAGATGGGGGGTTTCCGGTAGATGTTACTCTCTGCGGCAGCTGGAGGTAAACAAGAGAGAGAGAGAGAGAGAGAGAGAGGAAAAGAAAAGAAAGAGAAAGGATATGGAAGTCAGTTTGTGTTTGCTGGGAGCAGTGATATGGAGAGGACATGGAAGAGGAGATGCAAACCCCCCAGTCACTCATCTGTTAGGTTCAACATTTTTCACCTCCATGGATCTTTAAAAAAAAAAAAAAAAGCAACCTACTTCCAAGGCATTTCATCAAAGATGGACCAGGGCCTGGTTTAGCTTGAAAGGGGATTAAACCTGTTTTGGAAACTAAGCACCCAGTTACTAGGTGATGGGTGCTATAGAAAACCCTAGTGTAGAGAGAGTGTGTGTGTGCTAGAGGACATGCAGTGAGCATGCTCAGTGTTAACATCATGCATTGACAAAATAGTAGATGCTTCTCCTTCCTGTTCCCACTGTGGGCTCTTCTCAGACGGGGGGAAGGGGAAGAAGGAGAGGGGACACCTGGAAGTCCAGGATCTGGGGGTACCTCTATGGGGTACCCCAATGGTCCACCCTTATTGAAGGATTTACAAGAGGGAGATTATTTCTTGGGGCATAAGCATCTAAAAGAATGATCCATGATTCACCTGAAAGCAAACCAACATCAGCCAAAGCCTCTTTCAGCAAGGGAGAAACAGATCTAGATGCGAAGGGGAAGCTACTTGAACTGTACCTATAGTTATCCTACCAGCACTAGGGCCTACCAGCTGAGCTGCCGGAGAAGGGATGGGGCCATCCATAGCAGACATCAGCAAGGGGGCAGAGGAACTCCAGTCAGCACACATAACATAGCTGTGGCGGTGGGGTGGCGGGACAGGGAGAGGGTCAAGATAGGGCCATTGCAGAAGGATGGGACCTGTAGATGTGCATAGAGCTAGTCCTTATGGTGGTGCCTGTGACCATGGATTGGTAACATGGGTGAGCATGAGGAAGAGGCTGAAGCTCCAATCCAGACTGTTGGTGTCCGCCCTGAGAGATGCTAATTCTGGACTATGTATGTGCATACTAAACATGGCCTGGATTTTTTGAACACCTCAACCAAAATCTGGTGCCTTTGGTTTCAGTTCACCAGCTCGGCCCACGCTAGAGAAAAGAACTCACTGCACTATAAGGAAAGTATGTTCACAGTCTGCATCCCACCACCCAAGTCTGGGGTTGGGTTCAGGCCCATCTCAAAGGTGCACTTGAGAGCCAGAGAAACGTCTTTGGAAGGGGGACAGGTCAAATGTCCCTTGAACTCATTAGGGTTGGTTTGTTTTGCATGGGCTGAGTCATGAGTTTTTGAACTGACGAATGGTCCAGTCAGTCTCTGTGATTGCAGCCGGGAGGGCAGCGAGTGCCTTATTGCAACCTATTGTTTATCCTGAAAAACAGGGGAACAGGGCCTTGTTTCCCTCCCAACCCCGCTGAAGATCTGTGGATGGACTGAGGGGGCAGTGGGCCTTACCTGGTGGCCCCCTGGAGTCCCTGCTGGAGGGGAGCAGCCATCTGGCAAGCCCAGAAGACTCTGGGGGAAGGGTGCACCAGGCCCTAGGGGGAGTAGGAGGAGTATAAAATAAATCAGCTGTAAAGAATGGGTGTAGAAAAGCTTCTAATCAGAAAAGCTTTGCCTTGTGGTCCTCTGGGGAAGGGAGGGCAGAGTCCTTGCAGGGTATTTCACTAGGAGGCAGTGGGGAATGGCAGGAGAGGTTAAAGCAGACTCTGGACAATGGGAAGTTTAGGTGGGGTTAAAGCTGCAGGTCCTGTTTATGGATGGCCACTATCATGTGATGTGTCCTGCTGCTGCTAGCTGATTCTAGGCAGGCAGTGGTGCCACTCATGCGATACACACATATAGCACATGCATGCATGCAACAGACACAGTGCTCCCCACAGGCCTGGGGTCTCCAGATCCTACCTGGAATGTGGAAATGCTTGGGCGCTTGGTATGAGGTTGGAGTAGAAGACCTCACATCTAACTGGCTATAGTAGGGGGAGCTGCGCCCACTCTCTGTGCCTGGAAAGCGCGGATCAGAGGGAGTGAGCGTGATTGAGAGAGAACAAGAGGCAGAAGAAAACTAGTATTAAATGCAGCCATGTTAGAAGAGCAGCAAACCACCTGTGAGTCAATGGCTGGCGAGAGAGGTATGGTTGGGGGTGGGGTTTCTGACACACTGTTGTGAGGGAGGAACTCAGGGTTTACAGGCAGGGATAGGCAGGAACTGGAGGAAAATCCACAGGTGCATGCTGTTCAGGGGCCTACCCCAGAACCTGTTGCAGGGGCCCCAAACTCCTGTCCAGAATTTCTCTGGCATTCTCACTGGCATGGCAAAGTCCTTGACGGGGATTGTGCTATAAGCTTTAGTTGCAAGGTCTGGAGTCTCACCGAACAACATGGGGGGAGACCCAGCAAAGGGCAAGTCTTCCAGACTCATTTCTCTCCAGGTTTTCCTGCCCACTGCCCACAGCCCCATAGATTTTAAGGTCCAGCTGTGTTCTTCTTCATCCCCCGAAGATGTGCTAGCCCACGTATGTATAAGGCGTTCACCCCCAGCGTTGACAGATGTATCCTTCACTGCCCAGGAGAAGCAAGCTGAGCATCATCTGCGCCTTGAGCTCAAGTGCCGGCGTGGAGCCACCATCTTGGACTTTCTGTAGCGATGGGGCCATGCTGTGACTGAGTCGGTTATGAGACAGGAGGGCTGTCCTGGGAAGTGGCATTAGCTGAACTGGATTGTGCATGAGGCAGCCAAAACAAGGTCTCTCCACTGTCTAGGGCACATACCTCGCAGCATCCTGCAGGCACTGTCGAACTTAACTCCTCCTTGTTCAGTCAGGATTCCCCACCATGACCTGCGCTGCTGCCAAAGGGATGGCTGAGGCAACAGGGAGAAGTGTGTGTGTCCTTGTGACCCCAGCATGTGGCTGTTGGCTGACTGTTTTAACCTGGGCCAGGCCTGGGGATGGCCAGTGTCCTTACCTGAGCGGTAGTAATGATGTGGGGAGCGTGGGATGGTGGGAGACATGCCCTGGCGGCTGTAGGTGGGGGAGTCGATGTAGCCCGGGCTGGAAGCCCGTCTCTGCCGTATGTCAATACTTTCATAGATATCCTGGATGGGTAAAAGGAGAGGTGAATAAAGGGCAAGAGTCAGAGAAGGCACATGTGCCTTGGGCTCCGGGGCATGGAGACAGTTGAAGTGAGGCTCCTGGGGCATGTGCCTCATCAAGGAATCACAGAGTGCAGGAAGGTGTTTGCATGGGCAGCAGAAGCCTATTTCAGGGTCTTTTTCCTTTAGGAAAATGTCCCATCCCCCCACGTCAGCCAGGGATTCAGCTGGGACAGCGTAGAGCTTTCACGAGGAAAAGGTGCAGTGGGTGTGGTGAGCTGGCTTGTGCACCGGTATGTGTGGCTGGGGAATGGGTGCGCAGTGCAAAGCAGCCATCCAGCACTTAGAGACAAGTCTCGCATCTCCCATGTGAGCTCTGCTCCTCTCAGCACATGTGGGGCTCAACAGCAGTAGCTGACTGGAGTCAGGTG